TATAATATATTATATATATATATATATATATATATATGTATACATACACCCACACAACGACACGACTACGCACCCACCCACATACCCACCTCTCTATATATATATATACATGCATGCATGCATACATACACACATCCATACATACAAACACACACACACATATATATATATATGCATCGTACATGTAAGTTTATGATTTATAGTTTTATATATCGATTGTACACATATGTATATACATATTACATGTATATATTGGGACGCGTCAACTACTCTACTGTAATTTGATCTTGAATTTATAGTTGGACCTGTACAAGAAATGGCATACTCTATGTGCTATTTCGATTCCCAAATTTTACATAGCTTATGGTACTCTCCCAATTGAAGTTATATTGGCAAGACTTCAACTCGCAGACAAATTGGCTTGCTGACTGACAAGGTCGCTTATCAATACGTTAGGTCACGTAGAGGTTTAGTGGCCTGAGAGTTAGACTGTGCATGTGCAGTAAGCGTTCGTGCATTCTGCATGATTGTAACGTCCAATGCATCTCCTCTCGCAGCTGTTTGTAGTCGTAGTTGCCAGGGGTGGTTCTGCACCCCAAATGGTTGCTTATTACAACTCTTGGCTACGCATTAAACGTGGACTATACGCTGTTACTATGGTATTCGGGAGTGTGGGGCTTCTTAACAGCAGATCAAAACCATAGTAGTTGCCGTATGTGAGCAGAAAGGTTTGAAAAGATGGCATGTGAGTGTGCTAAAATCACTACACGCTCGAGCCGCAGATCATACCACACACACGCACACACAAATATACACACACACACACAAACAGACACACACGCTTCACGCGGAGATATCGACATTGTTTACTCTCCCATGCCCACTTTCAGGCCTTTCTGGGCGATGCGGTAGTCGAACTCTTTGTGATCGACAAACTGTTCACTGTAAGTCCGCCTGAGGACAACGGGACGATCACGGTTAAGAAGAGCCAACTGGTAGCAAACCACATGCTCAGCGTGCATGCACTACCCTACCTCGCGTATCTAAGGCGGGGGCTTATCCCAGACACAGACACGAAGGCGCCGTGTGATGTGCTCAAGGCGTTGATAGGGGCGTACCACATACAGTGGGGATACGACCACTCCCGTGAGCTATGCATGGACCTTGGGATCGTGCGGCGCAGCACAGGTTGATCGCAGGGGTCTATACGACGACTGTATATTTTACGTCTTCATTCTTCGATGGCTTGGGGTTGAGCTCATTGTCGGTGCAGACACATGTGCAGGTTGGAGGGCCCTGACATTGTGTGTGGTTTGCGATGGACAGGCTGAACGAACCAAATACTCGAGGTGTCGCATTTAGAAATGAGCGCACCGGAGTATTCTAAGCGATATACTTTATACCTGGTGGGCGTACTCGGAGAGAGGGGTGTAGGTGTAGGTCTTTGAATGGTTGTGTGAAAATGTATCTGCTCTGCACAAAGAACATACATATTGCAAGCGATACACATATTGTATATGAGAGACTGTACGACACTGTAGCAGCACACACTACCAATATCATATTGCAAGCTCATATTTATAAATATATTCATATATATACATATATATTCATACATACATACATGCATACATACATGCATACATACAGACATATATATATATATGTGTGTCATAACGTACACCCTATTGTACTAATCAAATACATCCTTGTATAAACGTACATACATATGTTTACAGCCACGTATACATTTGTCCATGTCTTTCTACACATACAGGTATCTATACGATACGACCGCACAAACAAGTGTATTTTTTCGGGTTGTGTGTGTGTTCATTTGTATAGTCTTCAATGTTCTATACGTATATACTCTATAGTTACTATCATTAAATGGCAGAGAACATATTTCGAGCAGCCCAGCTCAGACATATTCACAAGCAGCCCAACAGACCGTGTCATACACCGAACCGAACATATTTAAAAGTGCAATATCTTGTGTGTTGCAATGACAACATAGTGAGTAGTCTACCTTCGCTCACGCCCCTGCGCAGCCTTTTCTATCTCAGCAACCGGTGGTCCAACTACTCCAGCCGCGCCACGTTCACATATTTGTACACCAAACCTTTACTATATTACTCTAAGCTACCTATTCCGCATGTCGGCCATACTTCCGTGTCGAGCTAAGCCGATGTCGCCTTAGGCAGTCCACTGCTATCAAGCAAGCACTCTTCGTCTGTTAGAACTTGGGGTCCTGGCCCTGGCTGTGTATTGATGCCGTACTGCAGAGAGTCTTCCGGTTGTTGTGCGATCGTGAAGTGGCTCAGCAGCTCAGCTGACGGGGCGGGGGGGGCTGTGGTGGTGCCCCGGAAGAACCTTTGCAGATGGATGGGGTTGTGTAGATGTTAAAAAAAAGAATACGTTTACAATATAGTTATTTAGTTATATATATATATATATATAATACCTATATTTTTACGAGTAGTCGTTTGTATGGATAGAATGATACGACATCGCATGGACAACTCCAAATCCTCTGGGGAGGGGTGTATTCAACTACTCATCCAGTAGTATTGGTAAACTACAAGCCGACCTAAAATGGTAGCTACCGCTCACAATATCGCAGACACTACGACTACTATAAAATGCGGTGTCCACAAATACGCACCCAATGCGAACACAAACAAATAGATTGAACGTACGTAGGGGTTTAGGGGTTTGTAACTGATCAGACGATAGTGTGTGGCAGCACGAGTATACACCGAATGTGTGGCACAGGGAACGTGGTGTCGAGGTTCAGGGGTTTGTACCAACGGCATACAACATAGCGAGCACTCTGCCAGCACACAGTACCATGGGCGCCTATAAGGCATAGTAACATACGTAAATACGGTCAAACTATATATATATATATATAATTAACACAGCCAGCACACAAAGTGCACAGTGCAATGAGTGCCTACAAGGCATAACCACACACGAATACACTGTCAAACTATATATATATATATATATGAATAACAGAGCCAGTACTCTGCCAGCACACACAGTGCACAGTGCAATGAGCGCCTACAAGGCATAGCTACATACGTGTCCGGTGTCGTTGAAGGGAAGAAGTGAGACGTTAATGACGCGATTTCAGCCATAGCATCCTCCATGGCGTAGATGACCGCGTTAGGCCCAGCATCGAAAGTGTAAGCGGCCTATAGTAGGTAGAATGGGAGTACAATAGGAATACAATGTATGAGAGTGAGCGTAGCACGGTAGTGTATGAGAGCGTGGGTAGTACCGTAGTGTATGAGTGTGTGGGTAGTAAAGTAGTGCTTGAGCGTGTAAGCGGCGTATAAATGAGAGAAGGAGGGGAGAATAGGAATGTAGTGCACGAGTGTGTGGATGGTAATATAATGCAAAAGTATGTGGGTAGTAAGATAGTGCATAAGTGTGTATGGGTAGTAAGGTAGTGCATATGTGCGATTGGACTGGAATGAATAGAATATGCAAGTAGCGTACCCTTTGAGGAAGAGCACTCAAAAACAGTCCGTCCATATGTTTGCTGTTCGTATGTGGGAAGTATCCGACGGACATAGTCACACAAAAACAACCGAGCACATAGACTGTTTACACTAGATCAGAGTGACAATGAAAACCTCTTGCGCATGTTCGAGACGTAATCCATATATACAACTATTTTGGAGACGTAATCCATATATACAACTATTTTGGAGACGTGGTCCATATATACAACTATTTTGGAGACATGATCCATATATACAACTATTTTGGAGACATAATCCATATATACAACTATTTTGGAGACGTAATCCATATATACAACTATTTTGGAGACGTAATACATATATACAACTATTTTGCAGACATGATCCATATATACAACTATTTTGGAGACGTACTCCATGTGAACAACTATTTTGGAGACGTAATCCATATATACAACTATTTTGGAGACGTACTCCATATAAACAACTATTTTGGAGACGTAATCCATATATACAACTATTTTGGAGACGTATCCATATATACAACTGTTTTGGAGACCTAAACCCGATATACAACTGTTCTGAATACCGATGTGAGTGCACGCGTAGAAATAAAACGTGGGTGATAATTAACTACCACATACAACACACCTTGACTTCGCCCTTCATGGTGTTGTACTGAGTGACCATCTGCACCACCGCCTTAGACGTGTCGTTCATGTAGAAGATGGGTGGGTAGGTATCCAGACACACGGCATGGAATTGGTTACTGTCTCTCATAGTGATCTCACCAAACTGCGCAAAGTCTCTGGCCTCGATGGCTTCCTTGATGGCGGCCATGCGCTTGGGGACTACCTCGGTGATCCGGTGCTGTAGCAGTTCACTGGTGCGTACGCTCGTGCCCATGCCTGAGGTACTGCTGGTGCCCTTCTTACGATCACTCACCTGCATGCGAGCAGCAGCAAGCTTATTATTTCATTAATGTACGACACATGCAGGAGGATGGTGTGCAGTATGGAACAAGGCGATTCATTGGAAGCATGTGGAGGTGTGCATAGCCATAGGTCATGCATGAGACGTGTACCTGCCCTGAGATTAATGAATCATGTATGTACACTGGGTAGACCCCAAAACACAACTTATGGGATACACAAACGTCAAAAACACAGCCTATGGGGCTGGCACTCATACTTCACTAGGCCACCGAGGACAACATTGCAAGTCTGTGTGAATAATGGCTGAAAAGAGTTCACCAAAAGATCACGCACTATATCACACGGCACGAAATAGGGCATACTTAGCAGTGCAGGTGGCGATTGTATGCGTGTATTTAAGTTGTGCACATGTAGAATCGAGAGGTTGCCATGCATTCTCCTGGTCGGACGTGTGTTTATAATAGGAACGTACGAGACACGGACTGACTGGGTAGCTGTATATATATGTATATATTGCAGAATTCTTAACAAACCATACGGCGATACACATTCAAATTGAATAGGCGAGTTGACATGTATACCGCAATTGTAACCATGTACCACATTGTTACCTGCGCATGTTGTGAAGTCGTGGTAGGATGTCGCGTAATATCCGTGTGCAAGTCTATAGTGCACTCTCGTAAACGTACGTTCACGCACACACAACACCGTACATGTATCTATGCGCATGGCTCAGAAATATATACAGGAATGCCCAAAGCACCATTACCTTCATGTCAGGTGTTTACTGGACATACGATGTTAAACGAACGAAACAATTTAGCCAACAAATGCATATACATATAAGTTGACCATAAAAACCCTAAACTCTATACATATATGCGGACGATTGTACTTGTGACATTCGAAAGTACAAATTACAAGAAGACTTCAAACCAAGCCAGCGGTTGATTGTGCTGAGATCTACAGCATGTGGGCTATTGCACTCCAACACACCTTATATGTATACACGTACACATACACAAACACACACACTTATATACATCTATACGACATACATGTGTTGTAGCGATGTACACTCACCCCCACGAGACTCACCACCAGATCGTGTACCCATCACGAGAATCATAATCTGCATGCCATGCCAGTGTAATATATATATACATATATATGTATATATATGCGTTGTAACGATATATACCCACTCTCAAGAGGCTAACAACCAGCTCGTCTACCTACCACGAGAATCAGAATCTTCATGCCAGGCCAGTGATCGGCCAGGTGTGTCTGTTCAGCGAAGGAATCGTCACCGTCGTCGCGGGTGCCCATGTTCCAGGCCACCCATCCACCGTACATTGATCTGCAGGCGGAGCCTGACCCAACCCGTGCGATCTTACTGAGCTCATAGTCAGTCACGCCATATACCTGGGCGAGTGTGTAGACTGGTAGAGTATCGGTGGTATGGTGAGTATATGGGTAAGGCACACTATGTACGTTTACAAGGCTGTTGACTGTGATAGCACTAAATCTACGAATCAAACTCGCATGAATTTATACCGAGCTGTATATTAGTATAGTGATATAATAAGAATATATATTTAGATATAGATGGAGTTAGAATAAGTATATTTTAAAAGAAGTATGCGTATACACTTGCCCTATGCCGAGCTCAAGTCAACCGCTCTCTATACTCTCCTCATACTTACGAAGCGATTTTACAATGCACTCAAGTATAAATTACAGGCGTAGAATGAAGGTTCCAACATGTTCAAACATGTTTATGTGCACACTTACACATGATCATAGTAGTAATAGCACGCCATCCATCTTTATGCCATACACAAAGACAGAAAATTACCGTATATATATGAACAGCCCGTATCTGTCATACCTTACCCATTCACAGACATAAAAAAGTTCCCGTACATGAAAAACAACCCGTATATAGCATACCATACCCATGCAAAAAGACAAAAACGTTCTGGTACGTATATAAACAGCCCGTATATGTCATTACTTACCCATGCATGCGTAGCCCGAGGCAGACGATGCAAGCCCAGCAGCAGTGGGAAAGTTATTGACAGACACAATGTGTACGTGTGCATCTAGGACGGCCTTCTCTTCGTCTGTCTGTGCTCTCTCACTCGCCAAGCTACGGACTACAAAGTAGTGTCAATACACCACATCAGCATATGAAGGTGCAGAGAATTATTCATAGTAGAGATTGTAGTGTATTGATACATCCCGTTACATTATAAAGGTGTAGAAGGGTGTTCATAGTAGAGATTGTAGCGTATTAATACATCTTATTAACATATGAATGTGTAGGGAGGTGTTCATAGTAGAGATTGTAGTGTATTAATACATCTTATTAACATACACAGATGTAGAGGAAAATTCACACAATTGTAGTTGCTGTGCAATATTACACTCAGATGTACAGAGAGACATAGTATGTCCATGGCCATGCAACATACTCTTTTGTAGTACGTTTTGCAGTCGAGGGTTGGTGATGGACTCTTCCCTGTTTGCGGCATAGCGAAGAAAGTATGGGAGGATGTGCGGGCGATCAGTGGCCTTACTTGTCATTCACGCGATCAAAAACATGGCCTGTCCATGTATCCATCATGTAGTATACATACCCGACAATCATGAAAGTTTGGCCACCAGTTTTGCATACACACGCATCTCTATGTAATAACGCGCGAGGGGTTGCCAGGTGCATGATGTATATCTAGCCGTGTGGGTACATATATTGTATTCTGATGTTCTGCACATTTGATAGAGGCACACTCGTTGTATTCTGATGTTCTGTTCATTTGATAGAGGCACACTCGTTGTATTATGATGTGCAGTACATTTAATACAGGCATGTGCCCATTTCTGAGATAGTATACTATGAAAACCTCACAACATGTCATATGCCATACGTCCGGAGTGGTATCTACTTATCGTAGTGTATTATACAACTTGCTACGACATTGGATAAAACTATACATACTTTCCATTGAGCCATAATCGGTCACTGTCGAATTCGGAAGACAGGGCCACAGAGGTTGTGGTCTTCAGATCAGCCTGGTCAAGAGTAGCGCTCAGCGATGAATTGGTAGGTAAAATAAGCTTCTCATCACGCTTACCCCCTGCATCGGTTGTGTTTATATGATAAAAATTTAGAATAAATTATACGAACAAATGCAAATATATATATGCACACAAAAACACACACACACACACACGTATATATATATATTTGGATAAAAGCATAAAATGAGTATGAAAAAACGAAGTTCAGTACAACATCATGGCCGTTGCAAAGCGCTCCACTCTTCGGGATCCAACGTAAGTATGTGTACACTTATACAGCTGCTATGACACAATATATATATATATATATATACGTATACAAATACAAATGTACATACGTTCATATATATGTATACGTACATGTACACGTTGCTATATATATATATATATATATATATATATATATATATAGTGTCGTTGTTATTAGTGCCGT